GATAGATCTTTTTCCATTCATTAGAAACAAATATTCCTCCTAAATGAATGAGCTCTTACTATACATTATCAATATCGTGCAACATTCATTAATTTTGAAATGCTATTTATGAAGATTCTGAAGATTTAAGAGGACTGGTCCACTTCAAAGAATGGAAAGTATGAAGATAGGGAAAATTAATATATGACTTAATCCTGTCACAGATGTAAACATGGGAGGGGACAGGGGGCACCTGCTGATGTATCAGGTTAGAAAACGAGGGGGAGGATAGAATCAATGGTGGATAAGGGTGGCGCCAGCTGTTCTGACCATGCAGAACAGTTTGTTAATCAACTCCATTTTTTTTTCTATTTTTCAACCTGTGTTTGTTCAGCTAAAGTGTCACCAATATTCCCTCCACTTACCATAGTCCAACATTGAATGATAGCATTCAGAAATAATTTTGGAGTATAAAGGGGTTATGTGGAACAGGGCATGGAGTAGACATTTGTGACATATCAAAAATAAACATACCATATGTCCCACAATCATAAGATAAATCTGAGTAAAGGACCACTTATCTTCAATGAATGACCACATTTACTTAACATAAACAATTCATTATAATACAATTCCCATTGAAATGTTCAAAATGAAATGTTAAACACAAATTATAGCCTTCTCTAAGAAGTTTTTAATTGTCTTGAAAACATCATGTGATAAAAGTGTGGGTTTTTTTTTTTAAATTTAATTAATTACTTAATTCACTTTCTTAGATCTATCAAATTAAAATACCAAGTAAATGTATCCTTCCCTTTTCCAAGGTCAATAATAAAATGAACAGAAATGACCTTCTCCCAGGCAAATTATCTGATGGCAATCTGCAATTGCACTTCCACATATTTACTGTGTCAACAATCACCAAATTACGGGCATACTTTCAGAACAAACGTCCAATTAGTTTCATTACAACATCTGTTGCCGAAAGCCTAGCATTTCTAATGAGGGGATGAATTCAAACTTTTCACCCAAATGATTTATCAACTCACAATTTCTACAATACCCCTGAATCTGGTATGTTCTGTACATCATTTACAGATATTCATTTCTGTGTACATGTGATTTTGCAAGAACCCCAGTCCATCCTTAAATTGAATTTCATCAAAATGATTGAGTAAATTAATGAATAATTATTAATTCTTTATATATCCTTATAGATTAGGATCAGAACTTATTCCTGCAACCTGACACATATACTCCATCTATGGGAATTTTAAAATTGAAAATAATCAGATCAGATTCGGTACTTCTTATTGAGGTACCATTATCACAGCAAGTCAAATGCATATACTAGTACTAACAAACCCGATTCTTTCACACACACACACACATTAATTCAATAAATACACCTTACAAAGCAAACCAAAACTTGCTGTAACTATAACAATAGCAAATGACCAGCATTATCACTGTAAATACTTGCATTGTCATGTCTAATATCAGCATACTTGAAAAAAGGAACATTTTGCCGTAATTATCACATACTTATATATCCTATATGGCAAATGCTTTGTGCTATAAACCTTACTTCAAATGTACATTGGTAATAGGTATGTGCTTTTAAGCACATTTAGTAATCCCATTTCCAAGACTGCATTTCTGACCTATTACTACTTTATATTCGATAGGAAACACTTCCATTGTAATGTTAAAGTCCACTGAACTGTCTATCTTGTCCACATTAATATTAGGAGCTCAGCTACTACATTTCAAATTTGATTTTGCATATAGCTATTTTTTTTTTTTTTTAGAAAAGGGGGGGGGGGACTTTTAGATTCTTATCTTTTTTTTTGGGGGGGGGGGTCCCTTTGTTTGTTTATAACCGTTAATTTTACTATTACACTAAAAACTGTGTAATCCCACACCTGTGCAATCCATTTCACTGTGAATTTCAATCCTTATTTTCATTCCATTTTTACTTATTTTCCACGTTCTTTACACTGCGGTATCCAATACCTTGTCTACTCTGACACAAAATTTGTCTCCCAGCACATATCATATTTAACAGGTTTTACTGTATGCTATTTTCTATTTTTTTTTACTTCAGTTTGAAACTTATAACTGAAATATGCTGCAGTTAAAGTAAAAAGCTTGCCTCAGATTATTTTACAATAAATAGGAGAAGTATTAAAGCACGGACGACTGTTCTTCAATTAATTAATGCTGCGGTAAACGATAGGATTTTGTATAATTCATTATCACTTCCTACTTCAATTCCTTAAAATATGTGTCGGTAACTCTCAAGTAATGTTAAAGCTCTTAAGGTTATACCAAATACTATTTTGGAATATGCCTACTCAAAATAAATGCTCCAGAAATGCAAGTATATTCACAGACAAGTAATGTACGTGGTTTTAATATCAATTCAAAAGGTAAATAGGGAGTGAATATTTTTCATCTACTTTGACCCAATTTCAAAAATAATTAAAATGAACATGTATTGAGAGCTTTAGTCTGGCTGGTTAGGATTTGGCTATGAAAAAAAGGGGATTTAGCTGCTACTTTTTATAGAACATTCAATCTGACTGGACCCTAATGCAGTATTCAATTACCATAATTAGTTATTGGACATCTGTTAGAAATCAGTCATTCATTGGTGGATAAATAGCATGTAAATTTCATGTTTATGGGAAAGTACTTATGTATAACAACTTTAACAAGTCATCTTTAATTAGTAATTATCAAGTATTACTGGTGCTATTGACAGTAATTTAAAAGCAATGAAATGACAAAAATTTATAACAGATTTTTTTTTTCATTTTCAGGTACCGAGTATAATCCCCATTGACAAGTTCTGTATAGCTTGAAGAACTTTACCGATTCCAGATTAAGCTGCATGCAACATTCAGTTAACATATATCCACTGATGGATTATGAGCATCAATCATCAAAATCAGTGACTTTTCGGGCCACCAATCTGTTATCTGATTATCAGTACATCACTAGCCATAGAATATTTTTGTGTTACAAGTATGAGAGGATTAAAAAATTTAATTTTAATTAGATTAATGTATAATTTTATCTTTGACAAGTTTAGCTCATTGTATGTAGAGATACTTTTCTACAATTCATCCTACAGTACAGCACAAAATTTTCCTTCTTAAATTTCCAAATCTTTTTTTTAGGGGGGCCCATACCCAAAGCTGGTATCCTTAAATTTTTGTGAATGGCATAGCATATTTTGTTTTTTTTGTTTTTTATTTTTTGTAAGTGTGTGTAAAATAAAATGGCACAGAACTTTGCATACTTATCCATGAACTTCAAGATATTAGATGATACTCAGACATGTAATTAGAAATATCTATTTGATAAAAAAAAAATTGCAGATGTGTGTTAAGATATTCCACTTTGATTAATTGCACAAACATAAAAACTTACATCCTATGCCCTGCATCTCTTTTCTGAAAACTGTAAATAGCTTACTGATTTTTCTATCTAGCAAAATGATCCTTTTGCCATAATGTTCACTTTATTGAGAGCTAGCCAGGTGTGGGAAATCCTATATTTCCCGTATCAACCAGCAGGCTCTTTCCAGTGGCAGTAAGTGTCTGACGTTATAGTCTCATGGTAACAGTTAGGGATTCCAACCATAGATCCTATTATACAAAATTTACAACCCACACCAGTATCATCAGTTTGAAATTCATACCGAAGCTTATAAAATGGAGTCTTAATTATGTGATTGAATGCCACATAATATAAATCTAACCATTCTGGAATCTCAAAGTTCAAAACCACCACCAAGACTAATGTCATGAATGTTGATAATTAAATAGTTTTCTAAAATTTTAATAGATAATCGATTAGAAAAAGCAAATTCAATATTCAGAAATTTCAAACAACCATGAAATTGTACTCTACTGCTTTAACACAGCATCGAGCAAGCATCATTTTACTATAATAAAAATTTCATGACATTAAATTTGGGTTTAGAGATAACACTGGCTAATTCAATAATGAATCAAAAAATCCATATTGGATACTAGTCCACTCTTATTATTATTTACAATACACACAGGATTATAAATTATAAAGGCATCAGTTTAACATAGTTAACACAATGCAACATATACCGAGTCTGATCAAGCGACTTGTAGGTCTAATAAAACCTCAGAGACGGAGTTCATCAGCACGTAAACCAGTGAATACATAATTACTCAAACCAGAAACGAGTATATTTCAGATAGAATAACTAAAATTTACAGCCATTTCACTGAGTTGAAGATAACTAACAATATATATTACAAAAATAAAATACAATTTTCTTTAAGACTGTATTGAAGAATACCACATTAAACCCCCAGTTTCTTTTTTGTTTGTTTGTTTGTTTATTTGTTGTTGTTTTTTTTAATGGATGGGGACCTCATATTACCTTAAAATAATTTCAGCTGTTGATGAATTATAATTTAAATAATATAGATAACCATAGTCAAATTTCAAACATTTTCTAGTGCATACATTTCCACTATTATATGCTTATTTTGCTTAAAAACGAGTAGATCTGTCATATCAACTATACAGTGTACTTCGAGGAAATGCGGGCTCAGTATTAATACATTTGTAAGAAGTGGAACCAATCTATAAAACTTTCACACTGTGTTTTTATCTTATTTTTCTTTCAGCATGTAAAATAACTATAAAACAAACATGGCAAGAAAGGTGAAAAAAACTGAATATTGACAGATTAACCAGTGTTAACCAAAGATGCGAAACCATCGGCGAAATATTTAGGCCACAGTGAAAGAAGGAAAGGGCCTTCTTTTTTCCATCAATAAAAATAATCGAAAAAATGAGAAAGGCCTGTGAACATGCCTAAGATAAAAATTGTAACCGTTACTTTTTTGACAGAATTTTACACTGAGTACCGATGCAACATGCAACAAAATAAATAATAACATTGATAATCAAGCAAATAGCGATCGTCGATTTTCGGAGAGATAGAATGGGGGTGGTATACCTACCTTCTCGTGCTTTTATATACACCGTATTTGCTACGATATTTTCCAATTCCATTTAATATTATTCGGAGGTCATGGGCTGCAATTAGGGTCTCCGTGTGACCCCGTTTGAGTCCACCGTCTCACCGATACACTATCCAGGGTGTGGTAAAACTGAGCAATATGGCGATCATTCACAATGTTTTCATTGGTCAGACTTCGACTAACGTTTGGATCGATGAAATCTAGATTAGGGGAAACTACTCGTATTATACGACTTTCATCTGATAAACTTATAAATGCATTAAGAAATCGAAATATTACAAAATAATTTACAATTTTGATAAGAATAATCTGTTGTCCTAGGGCTTTGGTATTTTACCGTTCTGCGACTACTGTATTATAATAATTATTTTACAATTTACTTTTCAGAAGATGAAAGTTTTTTTTCTCTTCTAAAAAAATTAAGGTAAAATAATAACTTAAAAAAAACATTACAAGAATCGAATTTTAATGGATTGTTATGTATTCAATATAACAATGGATCTGAAATTTTTTAAAATTGCATAAAAATCTGACATCTACACAATTTTAGTAACTCCTAGCTGCAAAAATATAGCGCTCCAATTTAAAAAAAAAAAAAAAAAATCGATCGGGACGATATTGTATTTGTATTTATTAGAAATTGTTGGTCTCATTACCTCAATATTTATTTATTTATTGCATAATACACCCATATTGGTGGCTAAACATTTTAAAATGGCTTCATTATAAGAACAATTAATGCTTAAAATTAAAACTTTTGACTGACATGGACTTCATTTTTGCAGTTCTAATGACTGCTTTATAAAGTCTCCAACTGCTGACAAAAGTTCAGATTTTGGATTTTAAATTTATTGCATTTTACCGAGTGGCTTGTCTTTTTAAAATATAGAGTTTATATTATTGATTTTAGAAAATAAATGATTTATAAGAAAAGGGTTTTGTTGACAGTCAAGAAAGAAGTGGTATTATCGTCCAATATACAACAATTTTTACAAAGTCTATGATCACTTGGAATATTTTTGTGTATACCATTTTTAATTTCTAAAGAATGGTCACTCACTCTGATTTTTGAAATTAGCTCTCAGGTTGTATTTTTTTTCCTATAATAGGTATACTTCCATTTTAATATCAGTTTTTAATTTACTATAGAGGTGCAATTTAGAGCTATCTGTAACTGAAGAGAGTTTAATTAAGACATTTAGACTGTAAACGTCATGCAATGTCTTTCTGAATTTTTGCTTAAGAGATTACTTAATTTTATTGTATGTTTTATAAAAAATTTACTGAAACCTTGAAGTAGTGAAAACTGTATTCTGACCTCACAATGCATATGACTATTCTATTCCCATTGTGACATCATAATCAAGTCCATTTGTTTATGACGTCATTATCCTGGTAGAATCGAAGATGCGCAAACAAAACAGGTCGTAAGTATACAGGTAAAATTTCATTTTCTTATACAATAACTTTTGCCTTAATTAGACATTTACGTGACGTTTAAACAAAGGTAAGGTAGCGTGGCAGATGGTAAAAAGTATACATCTGCAGTAACTCCAGTAAACACATACTTCTTGGATTCGATCATATTGTACTGCATGAACCTTTTGTACTGCAATTTATGTCACTTGTTTTTTGCTACATTCAGACACAAAATTTTACGTCATCTCTGTATTTTTTAAAAATATTATTTAGATTATAACATGTAAATCTATATTCTATTATAATCCTACCGCACGATTTTAGACCATAATTACACTTTTGCCTTTATTTTCAGACTAATGCCTACAACATGAGAATTTTGCTACGCAAAAGCTTAGACACCATTTCAGAAGAAGAGGAGGAGAATGTTGAGTGCAGAGAGTTTACCTTGATAGTACCATCACAAAATAGCGGAAAAAGTGTGAGAGAGACAAATGGGCTAGCAAACAAAAACAGAAACAACACTGCTGAAGACTGTGCTTTGTCCAGTGAAACCAGTCAACATGATACACAAACACTGCAACACAAATCTCCTCTGCAAAGAGACACATGTTTCCAAAAAGAACCCATACAAGAGGCTAAAGAAACAAAACATTTGAAACCTCTTTCTATTGAGTCTTCAATGCTGCATGATCTGCATGATCCAGCGTGCAATGAAATTGAAGATAACGAAGAAGTTACAAGTTTTCGAAAGCTGATTCAGAAAACTTGCGATAAACTGTTTAAAAAAGGGAATAAGAGACAAATTCTGATGAACAAGTACACATTTTCTGAAATCAGTAAATACAATTTGTCTCAAAATGCGAATACTACACCAGAGCCAGATCGAGACAACGTAAAAAGTGAATCGAATGAAGCGGAACAGAAGGGAAAGGAAGAGAATTTAGAGAATCAGATTTCAGTAGATGATGAAGCTGCGCCACCGCCATTTGTTTTCACTCCTCAGTCATCGTTTGAAGAAAAATTTGGACACCTTTCAATCTTTGCTCCACAGACCAGCACCCGAAGAGAAAATGAAACCGACGCAGAAGCAGTCTCTAGGGCTATTGTTGGTTCCATGTTAGAGCAATGTATTGAAAGTGTCCAAAAACCCACAATAAACAGTCGTCTGTCAAGTAGAAACGCTTATCCTGTAGTGCCCAGTATGAGCGCGGGAACCTCTGTATCAAGGATTAAAGGATGCTCCAATCAGGAAATAGCACATCTAGAGAGCGAGATGGAGAAGAAAATCTCAACTGAGAAGAGTATTTTGGAAAGAGAGAACGATTGCCAGTTCGGCCATGGTGACGGCGAAGCTCTGCTGCAGACGGCAGACGACATTGAAATTCTCCGCCGGCAGAGAATGGAGAGGTTACAAGAGCTGAGGAACCTTCTAGATCAAAAGAGAGCAGAACGGAAGGCTTTCGAGAATAAAATGAGGATTAAATACGGAATAGAGAGCGAAAAAGACTCAAAGAAGGAAATGGCGAAAATGGAGGTAATTAAGATATTCAGGCGTACCCAACCGAAGTTCAATGTTTTAATATCAAACAAAATTTGATTTCTTTACCTAAAATACAGCTCTTAAGAGTTATAGCAACTGCATGTTTATCATCTAATATTTGCATGTTGCATGTGTATCCAATGAATATCATCTCCTGTATTTCTGAAGAAAACCATTGCCGTTTATCAGTCAGTAAACAACACTAAGCATATAACCTGTACAGATTTCTTGAGCAGTGGCTGTTCCATCAATGACGTACATATCAATGATACGATATTTCACCTAATAAATCCTTCTTTAAATGATTATTGGTATAGATATAAATATAAACAATAGAATGCCTTTCTTTGTTTGCTAGTACGGGAATTAACGTTGCAGCAATTGCAGAAAAAAATTACAGAACCCGCTACGCGAGTTATGATTTTTTTTGCAACAGCAGCAACTGTGAACATTAATTCCCTTACTAACAACCAGAGAAAGCATTTTATTGTTTAAGTATGTACTGATAATATCTTAATAATAATGTCTGTAGCCTTTTTATGTCTCTGATATAAGAAAGCGTACTGGTTTTTGGCATGGTTAAGTATACGCTTCGTAAACTATAGTTTACAAATGACATTTAAATCCAGTTTATCAACTGTAAAACTATGTTTAGCTCATTTTCATGAATTTGGCGTGTACATACGTCATTTTCTTAAGACTACTTAGAGGTCTAAAGCACTAACAGTAGAGAAACAGTCTTGTCAGAGACTTCTTTGAAGAAATCTTTTGTTTCCAAGCCTCTCCATGCCTAGATAGCACATATTTTATAGTTTGAAATATGGCTATCGTTTTCTCGATTTAAAGCATCGATATTCTACTTTAAAGACAAATGTTGCATGGAATATTGCAAGTCGATTAGCACTTATTATAAAGGTCGATCTCGTTACGCCACCTAGTGACGTCAGGTCAAGTATAATTTTCGTACGAATATTACAGGGGATCTTTATGTGTTAATAAAGCTGTAATTTTTCAATTTACACAGGAATTAGGGAATGGTAAATTTCTAAATGGTCATCGTCTAAGAACCAGTGCACTCGGTAATAATTTTATTTTCAGAAGTAAGTTTTATAGCTCTGATATGGGTTTTATTTTTTCTACCTCCAGCCTATAAGATCCTAGTAAAATTTTTATTATAACAGGTATAACAAAATTGGATTAGGAATAAAATATATGTACATACATGTATGTGCACCAAACAAGATTACATACATTATAGTAAACGAAGAGAATTATGTGTATTTGTTTTATGTATGATGCATGCGCAGATCTAGAGGGGGGTCGGGGAGGGGAGGTTCCGGACCCCCTCCTGGAATTTGCAGAGTTATTAAAAGTAATTTCTGATGCAAATAAAAAATGACTTTGGGACAACCCCCCCCCCCCCCCCTAGAAAAGGTGGACCTCACCACCACGAAAAAGGTTTTTTAACGTTTGGGAAATGGATTTTATTTTTATTTTATTTTTTTTTTATTTTTTGCTTGTCAAGAAATGTCTGAGTTGGAAATTTTTTGAATGCACGGGGTGGACCTCCCCCCCCCCCCCCCCCCCCGCCCCCTTGAAAAAATTCCTGATCCGCCCCTGTGATGACTTGATACCAAATAAATGATGATGATGGTGATGATGTACAGTGAAAACTGTTGTATATAAGTGCAAAACATGGTTTCTCTGATAAATACCGTTTCACGACTAGTCAAGCATGGTTAACAACTCATAAATGTAGTTATAGCTTACGACTTTTAACTTTATTCATTAGTTTAAATCTGTGTAACGCTCTGAATTCCCAAAAAATGAAAGGTTCGCATTTAAGAAACACAGTTCAACTACAGAATCACTGATTTTGTATCGAAATTGCACATTTTTAATCTGTGAAACCATATTTCACTACTCTACATTCAAGTTAACGTTCAAAACAGTAATTCACAATGGATTCGTTCAATCGCGGACTATAGCTACATAGGGATTAGATTTGACTTTGAATTGAAAACCATTTTAACAGATTTTTAGATTTATAAAATGTATCGAATAGCTCTTAACTAAAGTTTACGAGTTTTGATTATAATTCATGACGATAAATTACGACTGACAGATGTTAATCAAAATTCATCTCTCAAAATTATAGTTTACTACCGTAAATTACAGCTTACAACAGTTACTGTTAAATAGTTTACAAGTATCAAGTACTTTAAGTTACGACCAAAAACTATGATTTTTAGTTTACAAATGTAAAACTTTACCTAATAAATATAGTTTCATGATTATCAAAACGATGATCAAAAACTCTTTACTATGGTCAACGAATGTTAATTATAGTTTACAAATAAGTGTTTATATTTATTAACAAAAATTGTTATTAGGGTTTGTTCATAGACATAATGGCCAACTATCATCCAAAGTTTACTAAACTACACCTGTATGTGAAACAAAATTGACTTCAGCTTTTGCGTCAATTTTTTTATTCATGTAGTTATATTCACGATCACCTGTATATGGTGTTTATGTCTCCCAACTGACTCGATGCTCAAAAGCATTTTCCGAGTACTTTTAAACTTTTAAACAGAGATGGCTATTGACAAGTAAGTTGATGTTACATGGTTTTCAACTATCTCGTTTAATATCAGCATTTCGCAAATTTTATGGTCATTTTATAATTAATGACCTTGTTTGCAAATATAATCAATCTTTGGGTCTTATTTTGATTGACATGTTTCCCACCAGTTGCTGTTGTTTTTATATCATTGTGACTACGGATTACTACATTTACCTGATCAGTACCGAGCGCTCACGGCGGATGTGGCCGGTGAACAGGGGACAGGGGATGCTTATTTCTCCCAGGTACCTGATTTCACCTCTGAAGTTTTCAGAGGTCCGTGTTTTTGCTTTTTTCACGATTCGTATTTTTTTTTATTTTTGACAGTGATCGATTTTTGTTATTTTTGGTAGGGATGCGCGATTTTATCGGTATACCGGTATATCGCGATTTTTTATTGCGTGATACGTATCGTGATACGGAGACTAAAATACCGGTGTTTGGTACATAACTACAAATTCCGGAAAATATTCACTTATTTGTTGAAACTATTGAATGACAATTACAGGAAGTGTAAAAAAAAAAATGTTGAAAACAGTTAAACAATGACAGCTAAACATGCTTTATATTAAATAAATAAAAATTTAAAAAGTAAAGCTATGTTTTTAAGGCATATTAAAAAAAAATGTTATGGAAATTCCTTTGAAATTATAGTAAAAATTGTGTGTAAAAATATCACGATTTATCGTGATATTTTTGGGAAAAAATGGTGATATATCATTTTTTGCCGATACTCATCCCTAATTTTTGGCATTTTACGCATTACAATTGAATGCATAACTATTGAAAGCTATAGTTAACAAATCTTTACAATAGTACACGCCTCGTCAACTGTAGATTACAATTGATAAACCCAGACGATCAGCTGTAAAGCTTTTCTTAGCTCTTTTTTGTGAATTTGGCATACGATATAAGATTCTTAAGGAAGCTCTAAACACTAACTCTTAACAAAAAGTGCTTTTTGGACTTGGAGAAAAATATATCATATAAAGGTGTGCATATTAAGTCTATTTAGTTCATGTTCAACATAGGGTACCTGCCTTATTTCCGCAGGAAAAATGTTCAAAGACAATGGACTATTTGTGAGCAGAAATCACTGTTGTTTACTTACATCGGGAAAATTAATGGAAAAAAATAAATTCAATTACTTATTCTCAGTCTAATATAATGCTAGGAATATTCTGATCTATTACAAATTGTGTAATTAACTATAAATAACCGTTTTTTCTATCTTAATTACTTCTAAGGGCAGATCACTCTAACTGCATAAAACTACCCTATAAGTAGAACTCTTTAGTGTGCAGTGTTTAGAGCTGCCTTAAAACTACTTTAAAGTCTAAAGCAGTAGAAGAACAGTCGCACCAGAGACTTCAATTTTTTTTATTATTTTTTTTTTTACGAAACTTTTTGATTCCCAATTTTTCCACGTTTAACGGGCACCAATTTTTGGGTTTTGAATATGACTATCGTCTTCTCAATTTTAAGCATATCTACTGTAGACGTTCTACTTCAAAAACAACTGTTGCTTAAGATACTGCAAGCCGATAAGTATTTAAAACAGTCAGTTTGATTAAGTCAGCTACATGTACTAAGTGACTTCAGGTCCTGTAATTCTCGGACAAGTCTTACAGGGGATCTCTATGTGTCAATAAACATGTAATTTTTCAATTTACACAGTAGTTATTAGAAAATGGTAAGTTTCTAATTGGTCACCGTGTAAGAACCAGTGCACCCGGTTTTAATTTTAATAATAGAATTAAGTTTAAGCCCTAATATGGCTTTTATTTGTCTACCACATGGTCATAAGATTTCACAAAATTATTTAGAACCTATGGTGGCATATTTCTGCCCCTTGTGTGCAAGTTATTTTTCTATCAAATATGTCGACATGCAAGATAAATATGTTGACATGCGAGATAGTTATGTCAACATGCAACATAACTATGTTGACATGCAAGAAAATTGCAATAAAAAAATTATAAAAAAATCTTCAAAAATCTCAAATATCGCCCACATGTGACATTCAACATGCTAGACGCTACTTATTTTAGTCAACATGCAACTTATTTATGTCGACATGCAACTTATTTATGTCGACATGCAAATTGGTTATGTTGACATGCAAGATAAATATGTCGATATGCATTTTATTTATGTCGACATGCAACTTATTTATGTCGACATGCAACTTGGTTATGATGACATGCGAGATAAATATGTTGACATGCAACATATGTATGTCGACATGCAACTTATTTATGTTTACATGCATTTTCAGATATAGTTCTGCTATGACCTTAACCTTAGACCTTGAAACATAGTTCAAGGTTACTGCACAGCCTTTAAAAGAGACCTCGGACGAACAGATGGACAGACGGAGACACTAATTACTATAGGTCGCCCGCAGAGAGGGGCCCTAAAAACGTTTTATAATCTACGGTCACGTTTCTGAATCGCCAGGACATTTTATCTAAGGAAATTCAATTTATACTTTGTTGTCCACCTCATATTATAGAAAAAAAAATTAAACTGCAACATTTGCTAGAACAAATTTTCGATCATTGAAATCAGCTTCAATTTTACCGACAAAAAATAAAAATAAAATAAAAAAACAGAACCGTGCCTCATTGCACGTGTCTTGGCTAGTTACGAATCTGCACGCTCGCACAAATGTTCAAATTGTGTATCAAATAATTTCTTTTGCATCTAAATTTAATCATTTAATTCAAAATCTTATCATCTTGAAAATCGATCATATTTAAAAAAGTATATATCCAAAATGAAATCAAAAAATCGATCAAATTCACTGTAAACTTTTTCGCCATTCCAGAAACATATTGCATATTGACATAACTAAGTTGCATATTGACATAAATAAGTTGCATGTCGACATAAATAACTTTCATGCCAACATATTTATTTCGCATGTCAACATACATAACTTGCATGTCGACAAAAATAAGGTGCATCTAACATATTGGAAGTCACATGTGGGCAATATATGATATTTTTAAAGATTTCTTATAATTTTTATTTGATTGCAATTTTCTTGCATGTCAACATACTTATGTTGCATGTTGACATAATTATCTTGCATGTCAACATATTTATCTTGCATGTCGAAATATTTGACAGAAAAATAACTTGCACACAAGGGGCAGAAATATGCCACCATAAGAACCTTAAGATTTTTGTACAATTTTTTTAATTTTGCCATGAATGTACAATATCCGTATTTGGCATTCTAGAAATACGCATATGTAAATGATTTGTTTTATAAAACATTTTTGAACAACCCAAAGGATTTAAGAGAAACCCTGAGATATTCAATATTTACAAAATAAATAAATAAATAAATTAATTAATTAATTAATTAATAAAATCCCTGTCCTTTCTGATTTGCAGCAGATCAAGGAGGAACAAGAGACGGAGGAGGACCAGGAGGGCGTGGCTATTGTAAAGGCCCCCACCCACATCGATGTCCACACAGCTCCGGCCAGGAAGAGTATAAAGAGTATCTACCGGGAGGTGGAGTGTGTTCAGGACTCGTCCAGCACCGACAACTCCGACTTCGCAGGCACAGGTGTGTGTCTTTCAACATAATTAGAAGTAACCCCACCCCACCCCCCCCACACACAGGATTAAGAATGCTTCATTATTTTCTAGGTTTTTCTTAAACTAAATAAATGTTTATAAAATAACAAAAAATAATATACTTTGATCTGTTTGGGAAAAAAATGAGGAAAACTGACGTTCTGAATGACTTATGGAGAGATTTTGTTTTCAAAGATATTTGGGTGTGGTTAGGGGGTCTTAGTGGACATCATTTGACGTTCTCTGTAATTTTAGCAACCAATCCTGTTTTTATCAGATTAAAATAAACATATCTTGTTTCTTTCACCACTGTATTAAATAATTTAGAAGAAAGGCCGTGAACACACGAAACAAATAACTGCCACAAGTTCTGCCAAATCTATATAATTTTTATTCCATACTGTGTGATTTAAAGTATCTCTTAACGACAGATAACGAGGGATGTGATGGTGGCAGTGTTGTCGTTCTTTCTGATCTCGATCTGAGAACGTACACAGAGACCACGGAGGAAACAAACTTTGAAAACAGCTCACTCAGTACTGCCATGGACCACTCGTCACCCACAGGTCGGTACAACAATCAATAATCTGTGATCCACCTAATTTCATTTGTCCGCGGTCATCAAATCTGGGAGTGGATCAAAGATCTGATTTCTAAGAAGGTGCATCATGTTTGTTTGTTTCTTTATTGTTTAACCTCCCTCTCGAGAATTTTTCACTCATATGGAGACGCCACCACTTGCCGGTGCAGAGCTACAAATTTTGACCTATACTCGGCACTCAGGGCCATTGAGCAGTGAGGGATCTTTTTCGTGCCAGCACCTACTGCGACACGGGACCTCGGTTTAGATGGTCTCATCAGAAGGACAGGTCTCCACGTCCCACAGTGGGATTCGAACCCTCGACGTAAGGATCGACTCCTTACTCCGCGACTCTAGAGCGAACACTCTAACCACTGCGCCACGAGGTGCATTATGAAGAATACTCATATTACGAAAGCAAAATATGACAACTGCGCACTGCATGTCTTCATTATCATTTATTCGTCTTTTGGTTTTGCCAGAAAATATCGCTTTGTATTTAACTCATTTTGAAATATCAAGATTGTACCGATTTAATAGATGAGCATTAATAAGGTGTTGTTTTTGTTTCCATACAATTTTAAAAGTCTTTCTATATATACATGTACATGTACTTCTAAAGTTGACCAGTAAAAGTACTCATAAAACATGACAGCTTAATGAAACATTCGTAAAAAGCTTCTATATATACATTTACTTCAGAGGTTGACCAGTAAACGTACTTATAAAATACAATGTATAAAAAAAAAATGACAGCTCAATGAAACATTCGTAAAAAGTTGAATACAGTCTTAGCAGATTAAGCTAATAGATTCTTTTTCTAGAATTAAACCGATATCTAGTTCTAGAAAAACTCGGTATCAAATTTTGGTCACATTGTTTGAGAAATGTATTTTCTAAACATCTAAGAGGTCAATTACACATCTCTTTTTATTCTGTTTATGAAAGTCAACGGATTACGTGAATTAATAATTAAGTGCTGATATATATTGATTTTTTTAATCTTGATTTTAGGTGAAACAAAGAAAGACCACTACAAAAATCAGGTCTTTGATAAAATAACAATAGCACAGGGTTCCAAAAATGTAAAACCAAATATAACAAAGAATCCTTATGCTAAGTACGAACGCACAGGGAAGATGGAACAGGCCCAACGTCCTTCTTCCTCACAGACACTTCCGGCGGAAGTAGATGTTTCAGACGCCAAGTTCTGGAAGAATCTGGACGATGGGAAATTTGGAAATACCAACCAGTTCTATTTTGATCCAGAAGGATATGTCGGCCAGTGTCAGGACATGTCACAGTGGGTCACAGAAGATTTGTGTCCGTCTGAAGATAACGACATTACAGGTTTCTACGAAAACTGCTCATATTCTAGTGCAGTAAATGAAGTTAAAACGGATACAGCCATCAGCAGCGTTGTGTTTCCCGATGACTTGATGGGGCGAGCAAGACCAAGGAGCAAGAAAAAAGACACCGGTTCCAAGAAAAAGTCTAAGGAAAAAAAAGAGAAGAAATCCAAGATCAAGGAAAACAGTAGATCCGGGCATGTTTCTCTTGTAGCTGAAACAGAGTCGATTCTGCAAAAACTTGCTTATTTCCAAAACGAGGCACATCTCGAAGAGTCAAAGGAAGTTTTGGAAGAGAAAAGGAGGGAGCTGCGAGATGCCGAGAATCTTCTCTATTTCAGGGCAATGGCGCGAGATGGAGGGTGGAGACCCACACTAGAACCCTTGCCCAATCCCCACGGGATGACATCAGTGAAGCACTCTCGGTTGACCGGCTTTGGAACAACAAAAGATTTCTGCAAACCAAGTGATATTGATAGCAGCATATTTATGGGAGGCAACCGACGGAATGTCAGTGCTATACCTAATGACCCCGGAAACTACATCAGTGAAGCCGAGGCTGAGGAAAATATGATGTTCTTCAAATATGTCGCCAGAAACAGATCATTCTTCAAATTCAAAGAAAGAGATTAATTATTGTTCATAGAATTGTTTCATCTGAAGTAACATACATACAACATATCTATTGCAAACTTGGCATACTAGTAATGTGATTGCAAAGATGTTTTATATTCCTTCTAAAAGTTCTAAAATATTTTTTTTTCTATTCAAAGTTTTTAAGTTAATTAAGATCCAATATTTTTGTTTAATCATGTAGTTACTTTTGATCTAGTAACATTTGAAATACTTTCATTGGTTTTTTTCAGAAATTGCATATACTAGTATTTCTGTTTCATTGTATTTCTTATGAAAAAAAACCCTGTTATATTGCATTATTTTACATTAAATTCTGTAAGCAAGCTTAATTATTCAATTTCTTTTCACCTCATGTTTAAAACATTTCATCCTTTATAACTTGCTGCGAATGTTTAAGCATGCATAAAGTTTGTTTCAAAAGAGTTTTGGAAAGTATATTTTTTTGCAATTTTTTTTTTTTTAAATTTTCGTCCCTTATTGGTCACCAAAATGAAAATAAAAATTATGATAGGGTATCCGTCCCTCCGCTAAACCTTGGGGTACCCATCTCATATCCACAACTCCTCGTATACCACTGAATAAAATTTAATGAGACTTTCACATAATCTTTGTTACATAGTGCCTGATCACTCAAAAAGTTGTTACAATTTGAAAGACACCTATTTTCAATCTTTAAAAGAAAAGATTGTAATTAACTTTTTTTGCAAAGAACATTGAGTCCAATTACTAGATTTCCTGTTGGTTTTAAAAGACTGTCTACACTAACTGTCTGTCAAAAACCATAAATTACTGCTGCAATCATTGTATTCCATAATATAAAACTGAAACTACGTTAGTAATGATTCGTAACATGGTTTTACCTTCCTTGTACTGTTAGGTTTTGTGATGACGTCTTCATAGCAGTCGTCTGGTTTCATGGAGTGTAAATTTTTGTACAATATACTGAACTTCTTCTCATTATCCCAACCAGCAGAACCGAAATAAAAAGTGTATCATTTTGTGAGCTCAGTGCTCACAGCTTTATAAATAAATAAATAAATAAATAATATATATATATATATATATATATATATATATATATATATATATATATATATATATATATATATATATATGTATATATATATATATATATATATATATAATCTCTTCATCTCGATGATGTCTTTTATGTTCAAAGTTACTTTTCATTATTATTTCTTCATTATGATAATGAATTAATTGTTGCATACAAGATCGTCCGTTGGAGACGACTTTGTACTGTGCACGCCGACTTAGGTCGCGTAGAAATTATGAAATTTCGATCGCTGTAAATTAATATACGAAGCCAGCATCACTCCTGGTCTTCAGAGAAACAATTGTTAATGAAGAATTTGATAAATTTTGACTAATTCAGTGGTGTAGATGGCGTTTTCAATGATAATTTACTTGTAACAATATCACGGAATTAGAATGACATACCCTTTCCCCATATATTATTGAATTCCGTATACACTTTTTAAAAATATTTTAATATTTTATTTTCAACAATCGAGGGAGTTGCAGTTCAGGTGCATTCACTGGAATTGCTTATGTTCCTTTAATTTTGACCTTATTGTGAAATAAACCCATAATCTAACTGCAGAAAGCCGACAGGTGAAATAATGTGGTATACTTGAAAAACATTTCATATTTGGATACCGGCATTTATTAGACAAAGATATTGATGACAAAAATGTTATGATTTCAACTTTGTAGACATATATCATTATCACCAGCACATGGAATTTATGTCTCCCAGATGATCCGATACGCAAGAGCATGTTCTATGTACGAACAATTTCTAAAACAAGACAGGTTATTGTCAAAAAGTTGATGGTACAAGGACATCAACAATCTCGCTTTATGATCAATACAGTGACCTTGTTTGCAAATGCAATCTGTCGTTCAGTTGAATGTTCACTGACGTTTTTCATACAAATAGTTAGGCCATTATTTTCACACTGAATTGTCGAAGGGTGTGACCGTGTCGCCAGGGGATGTTTACGCTTCCATGACAGTGGCACATGATTCCACCTCCGTTTTAAGAAGTACGTGATTGTTCTGCTTACAGTTAGTATTGTTCAAATGGACTTTTGAGCATAATTACTGCTCGTTATCATCACATTTCATTACTCTGAGTTCAAATTTGCCCTACATTTATAATACTTCAGGTTTTGAGAATTAATATAATAGTAGATCTGCAGAAAGCAGTACGATTACAGACCTTTACCTTGAACTTAGCCCTATCTTTTGGAATGTTTGGGGTGGGATGGGGGATAGTTGTCTTTATATGATAAGAATATTTTAGTGTGTTAATACTTTCTACAAGACCCTCAAATTTTTTAATGATCATTTTGTGACCATTTCCTCGTTTCTTTGGGGGGGAGGGGGGGGGGTGTCATAGAAAATAAGTAAGAGATAAAGATATGTTTCCTTTTAAATTTCTATTTTGTAACAATTATGTACAAAAATTTGTTTTTGCAGTTGACATGCATTTTGTCTTTGGCAGATAATTTTGATGATTGTTAACGTGATCATGTGCTCTTCATTTTATTGGTCTTGTTCTAAATTCTACATTATGCAATTCTTTTGTAAAGACTTCATTCCTCTGCAGAAACAATGCCCCTCTTTTTATAAAAATTGCGATATATGCTCAAGAAAAATAATTAGTTTTACTCCATACGAGAACCATAAAGACATTCCAGATTATGTCATCCGATTTCTCATTATGTATTTTAAATCGAAAAAAAGAAGAAAGCTATTAAGATTTGCTAATGCTCTATCAACCGCTAGTTGCATAGTGAAATTAATAATGGTATATCTTTTAAGTGTATATAAAATATACATTTTTAATTGAAATATGATACATAAAAGAAACTATTAATCTATTGAGTAAGTTTTATAAATATAAGCATGTCGTCTTCTTACTGTTCTGACAACAGTAGAACGGAGGACTTGATGCATATGTAATTTCAAACTAATATTACATGGAATTTGAGATTCTTCGACTCAAATTATGACTGGAACTAATTGCAACCCCTTATTCATTTTTTGGCTGAAATATCATACATTTAATAAACTAGTCTATTGCACAGTGTTTCTTCAATATTTAATTCGTATTGAGATTTTTTTTTTCAAATCATGCTGTACACAATTTATGTTTACTAGACAAACGCCACTATATGTAAATAATTCACACAAATAAACTGAAAGTCATTTAAAAGTTTTTCAAACATATCTCGTTGAAATAAACGTTCTTTACGCTTTGTGTATAGAGTAAACGATGCAGTGCGTTAATTCTTTTATTTGAGGATAATTGTTTTGACACCATTATGAAGATAGAACTTACTGAGTGAAGCACACAATATGGTAAGATTTTTTAAAAGATTGTACTAATGTTAATTAGATTTCATTAATATTTTTGTGACTTCTAGTTACTTTTCAAATTGCTTGTGGTAATCTAAGTATTTATATCGAAATTATCTTTTTGTTTCGAAATGAAGGACGATATACCTAAAGAATATCAAGATGGTATGAAATTAAATTTTACTTTCTTTTTTAAAAAAACATTTATTCAATCGATATTTTGTACATCAGTTGTTAAGCCAGCCACCAGAATATTTTTGATTATTATTTTTATAATTAATTTTATTTATTATTTAATTATTTATTTATTTTCTTTGTTTTTTTTTTTAAATATTTGCCTTAAAATATATTCCACTGGAAAGGGAAAAAAATCCATTTTTTTAATGAAATTGTATGTTTCTAAAATATATAATTAAAAATATCAACTCGTTAGTATGTTTCCTTGAAAGGGGTGGATAGATATTTCCATATGTATGCCGATCCCGACACTGGGTTGATCAACGCGGAAGGCTTTAGGTCCATCTTGCAGTGCCTTCGTCTGTGTCCATCAGAAGCATTCGTCAAAAGGATTTTCAAAGAACACGACAAAGACCGTAGGTATCAGGCCCGTAGCAACGGTTTCAAAAAAAAGGGGCGGGGGGCAACTTCCCCTAAAAATCTCTGACAAGCCCCCTCCCCCCCCCCACCCCCCCCCCCCCAAAAAAGGACCAAAAAGTGAGGGGAGACTTTCCAAAATAATCTGACAAGCAAAACGCCTTTTTTACTGTCCAAATCCTTGAATTTGCCAGTGCTCGAAAGGAAAATTTACCATAGCAAAATATTATACCCCCTCCCGTTCTACGGGCCTTCAGGCGTATGCGGATCAGTGAGATATGCCCTCGCCCTCCTTCCAGATTCCATGTGTTTTTAAAATCAGTTACTAACACACTCAAGATTTGAGGAGGATAATATCGTATTTTTATCATGATATAATCTGCTTATTATTATATTGGCCTTCCAAAAGATCCCAAACTTTTACAAGAACAGTTCAATTTTTTTTATCTAAAGAAACTCAGTTTTTTTACTGGACTTAAGGGACAGCACAGTTTTGATGCCAGCTAATTCACCTAGAAAAGAATTGATGATATGTAAAACTGAATGCTCATTAAAAACCATGTGCATTAGTATATCCTCTTTTGGTGAGGACAGATTCTAATACAAGTAATTATAGTCCTATTAACAACCAGTGTCTGTCCAAATTTTCTTGCTAACTTCTTTATTTCTGTGCTCTTAATCACGTTATTAAAATGTATAATGTTTTCATCATTTTTTTTCACTTTTATTTTCTTAATTGGAATCATATCTTTCAATTACTATAATTAATGGACGTGATTACTTGAAGCTGAAAAATCCTACATCACCAAAGAAGAGTTTATGACGTGGATGAAAGGAAACTGGAACTCCAGGGAAGAGATCCAAAAACAATTAGTGAGTGCCATTAGAGAACTGTACGGTACCGATGGTAAGGAATCCGTGGAGGATGTGAAGATTTCAGTGGAGGATTTAATCAGTACGCTGACCACTGCGGGGGAGGAGCCACTCAGCGAAGACGAGGCAGGGATCGTTATGGCGGAATTAAAGAAACTAGACTCTGTCGGTGTCGGAAAAATTACAGGACGAGGTAAGCGTTGTAAATAAGTCTGTGGCCAGGCCTGTAGGAAGCAATTTCATTGGGATGAGGGTTGGGGTGGGGGCAATGAGAAAAGAACAGGCCCGTTACAACGGTTTCAAAAGTGAGGGGGGGGGGACTTCCAAAAAAAAACTGACAAGCAAAAAAAAAGCTCATTTACTGTCCAAATCCTAAATTTGCCTGTGCTCAACCTTACAACATCAAAAAGTATGTGTGTGTGTGTGTGGGGGGGGGGGGACCAGCACCTAACGGAAAATTTACTATAGCAACAGTTATACTCTGACAAAAGTGCCCCCCCCCGCGTTCTACGGTTCTGAAGAAGTCCATCAGATAGATTCTTACGGAACTGTGTGACTGTTGTAAGTTTCACAGGCCCACATGAACTGAGTGGGAATGTACACCCAATACTGTGCAAGTTTACCCCTCATTAAAAACGTGTACTGCATGACCTCTTTTCATTTTTCCCTCGTGAAGGAATTTCTGTTCTGCCCCACCTCCTCCCCCCGCTCCCCTTCCCGTATGGAATTGCTTCCTAGGGGTCTGTGTTTCACAAAATGCGATAATACCAGGGTTGTTTTATATTCTGTTTCATTCGACCTAAATTAGCACTGTAATAAAGTCAAATGTTTTCTCTTTCAGTATGAAATAGAGAATGAGAGGGAAATATATATATATATGTATTTGTCAAGTGCTCGGGTTTCTTTCAATAATTCCCATTTTCCGTAAAAAAAAAATTTCCTCAAGCTACAGGCGAAAGAGAGAACGTGTTATTTAGTGTGATTTCATTTTATTTAGACTGGAACACTTACGTATGAAATGTGCGGAAACTAATAAAATACAAATATTGTGATACAGGACTTATATTGTATATAATACAATAAAAGACAATGAGGTGTTACATCACCAAATATTTCCTGCTGTTAGTGTACGTAAAGAAAACCACAACAGACTCCACAAAATGGTTTAATCATCAATTGTTCATTGTCAATAAACTCAATTTTTAATCAACTTGTATGGTTAAGGATAAATCTATTTATGGGCTTCCAAGACTTGCGAAGAGAAATTACACAACAGCTCTTTATTAAAAAGAATTAATTAAATGTTCATCTTAAACAATGCTTTGTCTCATGTTGTCCCGTTTCGTAGACTAAGTTGCCTTAGATTAATAAAAATATACTCCATTGTCAGAAAATTGTGATAATTACAGAAAAATGCCAGTTAACTCAGCAGGGGACTGTTCATCCTAAAGGGTTATCCATACCTAGCAAAAGTCGCAGGGGAACCTTTTTGACCCAAGTATCGTTTTGTCCCCACCTCTTATAATTTCATATTTTCGCCTTATTTAAGTATGTTTAATAGAGACAGATTTGTGATAAAATTTGTGACAGATAAAATAGATAACATAATTCATAGTTAAAACCAATCGCGGAAAAGCAGTATGAATGAAGTAGTCGTGGAAAAGCACACGGGGGGGGGGGGGGGGGCGAAATAAAATCGATCGCGGAAAAGCAGAACGGCCAACTAATGGGTTAACCCAGTAACACAAGTTAGTATTCAGTCGTGTATCACACACTACCACATTGCCCCCCCCCCCCTCCTTAGATAGAGATAGCCTCATCTATTTTGGAGTCCCAACACCTGTCGGACGAAGATGTAGTAGCAATCACTTTTAACAGCAAGAGAATACCTGAGTTCCAACGCGGGCGCCAATTTTACAGACACTGGTTTGTGCCACCGAATGAGTTTCAACCCGTGACCTCTGTCATGCAAGTCCAATGATCTACCGATCGAGCTAAAGGGTTAACCCACTAGCCCAACCCGTGACCTCTGTCATGCAAGTCCAATGATCTACCGATCGAGATAAAGGGTTAACCCACTAGCCCAAGCTAGTAGAAAGCCGTGTACCTGTTCATATCAAGGACCATGTACCACTTTCAAAGAAATTAGCATTTTATGACACTTAAAAAAAACTATCTCTAGAATTAGTTGACCAGGAATGACAATTATTTGAAAACAAGAAGTATTACTTTATGAGGATTAAAAGACTTGTCTTTCCTATGAAAATGTATCCAGATTCCCTTCCTAATCATGAATTTCTGTTAAGCTCCACTACAACAATCCAACATACTAGGAATTATATAGAAACATATTCAGAAGCCTTCCTCTACCTTTTTTTCAAATTCATATCCTAAAATTCTCCATTCTGATTCAAATCATGATCTGCGAGATCAGAAATGCGCTTCATATGTGTAAATATTATATTTTTACAAGATATGAACTTTGAGAAGAATCTAATTATACTCATCTCCCCCTTATGTGGTTTGATCTTCAAAGTAACTTGAACAATATTTTATGATAATCTCTTTTTTTTCAGAATTGATAGAATTTTTGCAAGGTACGAGCAGAAAAGAAAAGTCTTCAGTTGAGAGAAGCACCATTGAACCGGAAGGACCCGAGTCGTGATAAAAGAGAGGGGTTACACAATATCTTAATAAATCGCAAATTTACACTTTGTTGAACTGTTAGTCTTCTCAAAATTTAAAAACGCCGATATATGGCTGAAATAGAGCCGATTTAACGCAAAACAATAATCAATCAATCAATAAAATTTAAAAACAGCAAATATAAACATTTTATGAATATCGAAAATTGAATGACATATTTAAAGGTCATATCTAAAATTGATGGGTAGATTTTTCAAGAAACAATATAACGCACATAGGAAGATATTGTATACAGATTATGATAGAATTTTATGCACAGGATTATTTTAGGGAATTCAAAGAGTTAGGGCATGTTAATGTCGAGGTAAAAATAGATAATGTGTGATTAAGAGGAGAGAACAAATCTTTAAAAAATGAATCATTTTCTGCAGATGAATCTTGTTACAAAACTTTTTTATTGTTAAAATAAATCATATGGTGAAATACGGCTATTGTTAAAATAAATCATATGGTGAAATACGGCTATTGTTTAAATAAATCATATGGTGAAATACGGCTATTGTTTAAATAAATCATATGGTGAGACACGCCTATTGTTTAAATAAATCAAATGGTGAAATACAGCTATTGTTTAAAAAATCAATGGTAAAATGTGGATATTGTTAAATAAATCATACAGTGAAATGTCTTTTGTTTAAATAAATCATATACTAGTTGAAAGCTAAATATTGGTCAAGATACAATATGGCAAAGGTAAAGATAAGGAATAGTGATTGATCTCATAAAACCTACAAACAATACAAATCTATGAACAGCACAGAAAAGCACACCCTCAAAATTCCAGAGGTGGGATCAGGTGCCTAGGAGTAGTTTACTAGCATCCGCCTGTCGAATGGTCACACCCGCCGTAAGCTATATATAGTCACACTAGTTATATATTGATCAGATAGACGAATAATCCGCAGACAAATTTAGTTAAAAAAAGCAATGGCCGAACAATTGGTATGAAATACGTCAATAAAAATATGATCCAATGAAAGGTTGTTTTGCGAATAAGATCATTATAACGACCATAGAATTTACAAAATGCTGACATTAAAGGAGTCTGTTGAAATCCTGTAACATCAACTTATTTTTCATTAACCTGTCTCAGTTTAAAAATTGATCGTACTCGGAGTATGCTCTTAAGTATCGAATAAGTTGGGAGACATAAACACTTGATACATATTACTACATAAATAAGGAACGTTGAAGATAGAAAAGCTGAAGTCATCTCGTTTGTCATACAGTTTAGATGTTAATTTAACCTTATCGTCTATAGTCAGTAAAACATCCAAATATGAAACAGATGTGCCAGACTGTGGTGTCTTTTATTTCGAGTTCACTGGGATATATCGAGTCGACATATGAATGGAAGAAACTATTGTTAAATGATACCATAGAGTCTGACACATCTGTTTTATATTTGGATATTTTACTTGAAAAAGACGTTAATGGTAACCTTACAACAAAACTTTATGATAAACATGATGACTTCAACTTTTCTATCGTTAACTTCCCTTATTTATGTAGCAATATACCATTATCACTTGCATTGCATATGGAGTTTGTCTCCCAGTTGATTCGATACGCAGGAGCATGCTCTATTTACGAACAATTTCTAAAACAAGGCAAGCTATTGATAAACAATTTGATGAAACAAGGATATCAGCAGTCTCGTATGAAAGCAACATTTTGCAAGTTCTATGGTTGATACAATGACCTTATTAGCAAATACAATCTATCATTTAGTCGAATGCTGACTTACGTTTTTCATACTAATTGTTAGGCCATTATTTACACTCTGAATTGTCTACGGTTTTTTCATTTGCCCGATCATGACAAGGAGCTCACGGTGGCTGCGACCGGTCGACAGGGGATGCTTACTCCACCATGGCACCTGATCTCACCTCTGATGCTTTTAGAGGTCACTGTTTGCTCTGCTCCTGATTTGTATTGTTTCAGTTGACTTTTGAGCTTGATTGCTATTCTTTTTCTCCATATTTTATTCATTGATAAAACGTCGTCGATATATCTAAAGGTCGAGTTGCAAGGTTTTTTTTCTTTCATTTTTTTTCCCATAGGAATATAAAAACAGGTCGGTTAATATTTTTTTAGATTCACAATTACTAATTCTAATAATATTTTTTTGAAAATTTACATTTATGTAACATTTTGGCACAGATATGCTAGTAAATAATTACTAGTCTTAATATATTCTTCTTGCATAGTATGTTCTGTTGAAGAATTCGACTGGTTTCAGTTTTGGCTGAACATGAACAATAAGCATGCCACTTTATATTTGAAACTCTACATTATTCCCCTTTTGGCACAAATCGTGACCGGGTGAACTCAAAACATGAAATATTTAAAACTGCTGTGCCAAAATTGGAAAATATAGATTATACTGTATATTAATACGAAATATTCGATACGGAAAAGATTATTTATTGACTGAAATTCATATTTGTTGTTGGTCATAAAGAATAAACTAATAAGCTCGTAGTACATTGCAAGGCACTTTTTATGATATCCAATAATAATATTAGGCATTTGTTAAAAAAAAAGAAGCATTAAAACCATATAAACTTAATCCATAGAGAGGTCATGTCTACACCCCTTGCTTAAAAAAACCCCGAAACATAGAATTGTTTTGTTTATACATCAGGAATTAAACCGACCATTATGTTGTTGTCATGAAGCATCTACGTCAGAATCATTAAATTAGCTTTGATTATGGCTCTGTTAAGACCTCGAATTACGGTCATGTTTGAATTGGGGAATTAAGCAAGTATAAACAAAGATTCTCTCTAACCTAATTAGAAATTTAACGGCGATTTCATAAACATACATTGTATAATCAGTAATTATTTATTTTGGGGTTATCTGGGATCAGCAAGAGGCAAAGAAATATTTTTGCAGTTTATAATTATTACGTACTCTATGCAGCATTATAATCTGATTTTTAAAATTACAAGCCCGGAAATCACCATATTATATAATTTAAAGTAAAATAATGGAAATTATTCAATAATATATATTGTTTATATAATATTTAAGCTGCATAAAAGAGGACAGACACTTATATATATTGACAATCGAGTCGAAACATTGTGCAAATTATTTCTTTTTTTTTTTCTTTTTTTTTTTTTTTTTTTTACAAAATCTAAATATCGAATGCAGTTTCTATCATTTTTAATATTAGTACATCCAAACTTGAGAATTGTCATCTTTTCTTAAGAAAAGAGAGAAAATGAGTAATTTCAAATTAAAAAAAAGTCACAAAAAATATATATGTCGTTTACTAATTACAAATATATAATGTATTGTATTGAAGAAATTCATATATACAGAACAATTAAATTGTCATACTCAAATATTAAACAAATTCTAAATTTGGTAGAGAGTATGTTTAAAGGATAAATATATGGGGAAGGGGGGGGGGGGCACACACACAGAGGGAAAATGTATATGAGGAAAGTACTCGGTTCACATCAGATGATCAATAAAATATATTAATCCGTTCTTTTCATTTGACTGTATTCAAACAAAGCTCTGCATATATGTATTTTTCATTTCAGTTAAATGGTATATTTTGCGTTTGTCAATTAAGCGATATATTTTGGTTATGGGAGGAAACTTTGTTAAATGAGTAAACAACTCGGCAGATCGCATTATTGGCAATGTTACATTACAAAACATTGAAACAAAAACAAGCTCACATTCTCTAAATTCTTGACTGATGTGAATTCATTTTTGTCAATGAAATAAACAATAACATTAAACAAAAATCATTGATAAAATATGAAATAAAATCTTTTTTATTTTTTTTGGGCAACATCCGGAGACATGGTATTATCTACAGATATACTGGTATCCATCACGCAATGCTGTGGAGAGAAAGGGTGCTTTGATGTTACATATGCGTATTTCTCGAGACAATCATCTTTTAATGTTGTTTTCAAAATCTAATTTTTAAAAAATGTCCGTCCTTGAAACTTTGACCGTTGTTACCCTCTTTTAAAGACAGACATTTGTAATAAATGATAATTGTTTATTCAGAGAGAGAGAGAGAGAGAGAGAGAGAGAGAGAGAGAGAGATTGTAAAAGTTACTATAACATTTATTTCCATCATTCAGTTTTCTTTATGTTTGTTCTTTAAAAGCAGGAACTTCTTTCGGGCGATATTGAAAAACATTGCATTCATACAAAACAATTTTTGCAAATGCATATCTGGTCTTTTCCTGTTTCCGGTTATGAATATGTTTCTTGTAAATGATGTATCCTCGTTGTTAGCCAAGTGTCTCTGATATAGTTTCCTTTCAATATCAGAAACACCTGGCTAGCAAAGATAGTATCAACTAGGCATAGTTTCCTAACATGAATTTAAGATTAATTGCATATAGAAAAGAATAGAACTTCCACTTGTCAAAATTCGAACATGCCAATGTTTATTTCTTTGAATTAGCATAATGAAAAGACAAGAGATTGCATTTTGTAATAAAAAAAAAAAAAAAAACAAAACAAAACAAAACAAAACAAAACAAAAAATTATTAGCATTTAAGACAAAAATTTTAGCCGACAATAAAATCAGAAATAAAATCAAAATTAGTTATTCTGTTAAGATTACCTGCATAAAAAATATCTCTCAATTTTTTAAAAATATGATTAAAGAAATTAAGAAATGTAAACGAGATTTTCATTCGCAAAATTACGTTTTTGTCTTAGTCGTAAATTTGTACCAGTGGGGCGCTGATCCACATTAAGCATTTGAAGATACTATAAAAAAAACCCGGTTACCTAAATTTTGAATTTTTGTTTGTCCAAGATCAAATCATAACACTGTAGATAACAATTGTACTGGTCACTATTGGTCAATGGGTGAGGGACAGATAGCACATTAATAATATTGAACCATAGTCTACAATTGTTGAACTACTAGTGTTTGTTTATTTAAAGATAATGGCAACCGTCCTCTAATGCGATAACATG